CCATCAATCAAACATCCATATACATGTTGTTTTCTGTGAGTTTCTATGTACTGTTACACTGTTGTGATGTGTTATAGTACTTTGTTCGTTATTTTACATGGTTCGACACAAGCATGGTATGACATATGGCTTGTTCGGCCTACCAATGGTCCAGGTATATACCTGGTCCAATATGCGAAAGGTTCGGTAAGTAAAGAAAAAAAGGATCGTGTGTAACTCCTAGTTTTCAGATGATTCTATTATCGGAATAGCATGTTGTAAATTGATCAAGTAAAGATTTTGGGTTACAAGGGAATTGAGTTTATGTAGCACTTCTCGCATGGGAATGTTTCGTTTGTGTACTGGGTGATTAAAATGTTGAAAATAAGGATTTTTAGATGGTTATAATGTGATGGTGGATGCACCATGATGCGGCCATTGATGCATAAGGCGCACATTCATTTTAGGCGTCACGATGTGACAATGTTAACCCTAATACACACGCCATCCTATCCAATCATACACCATTTTAGCTTTACCTTTTCATCATTATCACATTATAATCATTTAACTAAAGTTTATACTCTTACTTCATTATAATCTAGTCATTATTGACTTTATTATTTAATAGTTACGTTTTTATTACTAACTTTATTAATATCAGTAGTTTTAAACTTATTTTTTAATAAGATAAAAAATACAATAATAATTTTGTTTTTATAACATAATAATATAAATAATATTATAAAAATAAAATTCTAAATAAATTTTCATCAATTTTTTATCTTAGTTTTTAGTGATAAACCAACAAATTTAATACATTTTTTTCTCATTTCCATGAATCTAATATCATTGATGGTAGAAACAATATATATATATATATATATATATATATATATATATATATATATATATATATATATATATCCAATACTAATAAAAGAGTAGTTTTTTGTCATGTGTCACCATATTAGACATTTTAATTAATGTGTTGCCACTTATCAATTCATTAGTTCTCCATTTTAATTTTATTAGATATCCTTATTAATGTGATGCTTTTTGTCAATGTATTTATTCTCTATTTTAAATTTAAATATGAATTTTATACTATTATTTTCATTAATTTACAAATAAAAAATATTTAATATATATTAAAAATTAATTTTACAAATTTATTTGAATCAATGATTATAATTTCACATAACTAATAAAAAATATCTCTTAAATTAACAATTTAATTAAAAAAAAAGATTAATAATTTTAAGTTTTTAAAAGTTTAATTAATATTATAACCGCGGTTCCCACGGGTTATAAACTTGTATGTGTGTGTGTGTGTCTATATATATATATATATATATATATATATATATATATATATATATATATATATATATATATATATATATATATATATATATATATATATATAGAATAAGAAAAAATTCAAACAAATCTTCATCATTTTTTTTTTAATTTTAAATATTACATAATAAAAATATGAGATAAAAATAAGCAACAATTAATCATATATAGTAATAAAAGATCTTTCAATATGTTTGAGTTGCTTATAGAATTTTAAACGCGACTTATACATAGTTTGTCATTCAGTTGTGAACGAGATTTTGTGGCGGATACATAGTCTGCATAAGCTTGCATGTATGCAATCGGTGTCGTAGATTCGATTATTTTCTTGCACTTTGGATGAAGAGAATCATAAGTCTTTTGTGATTGAAATGTGACCTACAATACTTTGTTATACTCTTGAATATATGTCGCCTACAAAGTAAATGATTACTTTTATGAAAAAGCATCTTTGCACGCTTTCATCGACACCAAATCTCTATCGATGACGATGACAAGAGGAGAAAAAGAGTCGTTAGTCGTTAATCGTTATTTCTTTAAAAAAATGAGTATATGAGTTAAATAATAGATATATTTTTTAGAGTTAAATAGCAGTAACTTACAGAATATATGAAGTGACTAAATAAAAACATACAATAGTTGCAAACCATTAACACTAAATACTACTATTTGGTACATTGTATTCTAGCTTAGTTAGTGATCTTTATAAAATCAAATTTAACACTAGTCATTTTTATTAGATTTGCTCCTAAAAGTATCAAACTTTATCATAACACACATTATTTTTATTCATATAGCATTAATACACAAAAATCAAATTCAATCCATTCCAATATAGATAGTTTCAAATTTCCATAATTTTAGTAAGATAAAATTTAAATACTACTATTTGGTACATTGTATTCTAGCTTAATTAGTGATCCTTATAAAATCAAATTAATCCTAATCATTTTTAAAAGTATCAAATTTTATCATAACACACATTATTTTTATTTATATATCATTAATACACAAAAATCAAATTCAATCCATTCCAATATCAGATAGTTCCAATTTCTATAATTTTAATAAGATAAAATTTAAATACTATTATTTGGTGCATTGTATTCTAGCTTAATTAGTGATCCTTATAAAATCAAATTAATTATATTCATTTTTAAAAGTATCAAATTTTATCATTACACGCATTATTTTTATTCATATATCATTAATACACAAAAATCAAATTCAATCCATTCCAATATAGTTTCAATTTCTATAATTTTAATAAGATAAAATTTAAACACTACTATTTGGTGCATTGTATTCTAGCTTAATTAGTGATCCTTATAAAATCAAATTAGTTCTATTCATTTTTAAAAGTATCAAATTTTATCATAACACACATTATTTTTATTCATATATCATTAATACACAAAAATCAAATTTAATCTATTCCAATATCAGATAGTTCCAATTTCTATAATTTTAATAAGATAAATTCAAATACTACTAGTTGGTGCATTGTATTCTAGCTTAATTACTGATCCTTATAAAATCAAATTAATTCTATTCATTTTGAAAAGTATCAAATTTTATCATAACACACATTATTTTTATCCATATATCATTAATACACAAAAATCAAATTTAATCCATACCAATATGAGATAGTTCCAATTTCTATAATTTCAATAAGATAGAACTTCATAAACTGTCTTTTGATTTTACTCTATTTATTTCTTTGTTATCAAATGATGGTTCCTGCCGTTTAAAAACTTTTCATAGACAGGTATCATAGTTAATACTGTCTATTTTTTTCTGTTAAGTAGGAATATGTGCAAGACATGTGAGAGCAATAAATAAACGTTACTCGTGCCCCAAACTCACTCGCATGTAAGGTTCACAAAATCATTTTCTTCATTTTCTTACAGACGACACACATGAAAAAACTTTATGAATGGAGCGTGTGATGGTAAAAGATGATTCACATGGAGAAGAGGACGATGATGGGTTGGGGTGGGTGAGGTTGGAGGAGGGATAAAGTTTAAGGGTGGATGAGGTTGTAGGGAGGGATAAAGTTTATTTATTTAGAACTTTATAAATGGAGTATGTGATAGTAAAAGACGATTCACATGGAGGAGAGGACGATGATGGTTGATGGTAAAAAGAGGGGATGACGCCCTTCTGAGTTCAGCTTAACGAGGGAAAGGAAAGAAAATAGATGGAAGTGGGAAGAAAGTAAAAGAAATTGGTGTTTTCAAGTTTCATTAAAGGAAGAAAATAGAAGGAAATGAAATCATTATTTTCCCTCCTAACTTTTCTTCCGATTTGAAACGATTTGGAAATAAAGAAAATAAATATTTAATTTTCCTTTCACTTCTCTCCAACTCAGAAACACAAACTACAAATTTCTTTTCATTTCTGTTCTTTGCTAAAACTCGGAAACTAGGTGCAAGAGAAATGATAGGATAGTGTGAGACTAGTCATGGAGGAGTTTGCTCTTTCCTAGTCCATGATCTCAAATAGAAAGGTTTGGAGGGTTAAGATCCAGGTATATGAGTAGACTAGCACTATTGTCAGGTGTGTGTTTTTTTTTTTTTTTTTTATTATTTTATATTTTTTATTTTTATTTATTTATGTATATACTTTCTCCTGTATACTTGTCTTCTATTTTATCTTTTTTTTTTCGGCTTATATTGCCCCACTGCCACTGCTTATCTCTTTAGTAGGTTCCAGAAGTTTTTTTTTAAATGATTTTTCTTTGTATCTATTTTATTGCTCACGTGGACTTACTCCCTCTTGTTGTTCTTTTTTTCCTCATTTACAGGTCATTGTCTGCTTATGATGGAGGTATTCTTTGCGACATAATCGCTCTTCTCCCTATAGAGAGACTTCGATTGTCGGCATCTACCTTCTCCATGTCCTATTATATTGGGATCCGGTGCATAGGGGTGTCAATCTTAGACATGACACAAAATAAAAGTGGGACAAAATCGAAATTCAAATACATGTTCGTGTTAAGGATAAAAAAAACAACGTCGCGTTCAAAAATTGACACAAAATTGACACGATTTAGCATGTGTTTGTCGTGTTATATATGATTATGTATGAATTAAAAAGACTAATAATTGTATTATGATATATTTGTTGTGTTTGATGTGTTTTAATCAACTTGTTTTCATTTTAATAAAAATAAACTCAACATTGTATCATGTCATATTCGTCTTACATAAAACAATATTGTATCATGTTAAACAAAAAAACACAACATGGTAGCTCAATTTGACATCCCTAACCTCAAGGCATGTGTTCTGACTTGATAACCATAAAAATTGTCTATGGAAACCAAGGAATCAAGGATCTAGGAAACCACATAGACCATTTATGAAGTTTTGTCTTTAACTAAAATGGTAAACAAATGCATTTCCTACACTAAATCATTTACTAAATTAAAAAAAAAAAATGGAAGGGTGTGGTCACAATCGAACTATAAAGATTGTACATGTTTCAAATTAACAAAACCAAGAATAACATGATATTTCAGTTACATAACCTTCTACAAACAACTCTCATGAATAAAGTTATAGTAAAAAAAAAAAAACAAAAAAACAAACCCTATGAGAATCTACCTACTCGAGTAACTATATATTTCCCTTTCTCTAAATCATATATCGTCTTCACATGAGGCTTCCTCCATTTCGACACAAAATACACAACAAACAACAAAACAACAACAAAAACCAAAAACCCTAAAAAAGTCAAAGACTCATTCCCAAATATTGACCTCATGGGGTCAAAATGGTCAACACCCATATCATTAAAACTTTGTAAAATGAACGCCCCCAAAGCCCAATCAAGTGGAATATCATTCACCTTATTAGCATATCCAATCCTGTTCAAATAAACATAAAAATCAAAACATCTCTACTTAATCCTTAATACACAAAGAACAATTTTATACAAGATACGATGCTTTTTGACTTTATTACATCATAACTTTTTACAAATTTGTACTTCTTTGTTTTTTCTTCCATTTCCCAATATATTATATAAAGTCGCTTTTTTCACATATTTTATTTATCCATACATCACTTTATCCAGACAGACAGTATCAGTATCAAACACAGTACCTACCTTGTATCATCCAAGGCGATTCCAAGGGAGTCATGAAGTAAAGCAACAATGTAAGCAGAAGAGAAGCAATAACGATGCAAGTCTTCTTCATGGAAACTCGGGTATTTGACTTTTAGATTTGACCAATCTTCTTCACAGAATTTTGGTCCAGCCACCATAAGTTCAGAAAGAAATGTTCTTGGGGACAACCCAAAAAACTATAAAATTTTAGAAAAAAGGTAAAAGTATTAGAATATATGAGAAAAAAGAGTTAAATGATTTAGTAAAAAAAAAGTCGAGTGAACCTTGGATGTATGGAAGAAATTTTCGGTTGCTAAAAACTTTCCTTCAAGTTTGGGTATAAATGTTGAACCAATGTAGCATTTTTCATATGCACATTTGTCTGCATTTGAAGACATGTTTTGGATTAAGATGAAGGGGTAAAATGGTAATTCAATGAAAGTAAGTTGCTTTTTCAATTTCAGCACACCTTTGTCTTTCTGCAAGAAAGATAAGGAAGCAATTCTACACTCTGAGAAGTTTCCAGATGCATGTAGATCGGATAATTGCTCATATTTTAACAAAGTAGGAGTGAGTTTCTCTTTCCTAGTCATCACATTGTGTTCATAGCCTTTTGGAGAACATGGATCAACTGGTTTCTTGCAATCAAAAGAGTTAGTAATACACCCAAAGTTTCAACTTTTTACCAAATTATGCAAAACCAATAACACATAAATTGTTGTAAGCATCACATAGAGCTCTACCTACCCAAGTTAGGACCTTTTGCAACAATAGACTCCTGAAGTAAGTCAAATGCAATATTCTGTAAAATTATTACACAGCTATTCAGCATCCCATATTTTTCCCATAGTTTTAAGTGTAGCATAAAACAATGTTTACCTGACCAAAATGAAGTAAGCTATGGCTGTAAAGTGTGTAACTGATCTTCCCAAATTTGACTGTTTGCAAAAATTCAGAAGGTATTGACTCTCTTGAGACAAATGTCACCTGAAAGTGATAAACATATACTGAAGATTCTCATTGTAATGGGAAAACATTTCAAAATCTGTTATTCAGAGAAAAGAAGAACAAATAGTCGATTACAAACCTGAGCAGAAGCACCACCGAGTTCTATTATCCCTGTTGTTTCTTCAGGATCGCCTCCAAGAGTTCCAAGAGCATAGTTAGCCACAACCCATGCATAAACTCCCTCATCCGGCCCTAAAACGACAACCCAAAGTTGACATTATCACCTCCAAGAGGATCAGAATCATTGATGACTAGCTCTATAAAGCTTTCATAATACCTGAAATAACTGAAGCCCAATCATCATTGAACTCAAATCCACAACGCCTTAGAACTTTCCTGCAAGACTCCAGAATCTGCTCCTGTACACCCAAATCCAGCATCCTTAAACCAGCCGTTGCCATCAATCTGACCTCCGTCTTTCCCCATTCCTTTTCTGGAACTCTCTTCCTCGCAAATGCCAACAACTCCAACAGTGACACACCAGCCGAATCTGGATCCTCTGCAAATGATGATAAACCCGGGGTAATCCGCATGGAACCCAAGCTGTTCTTACTACCAAAATCGAAAACCGGAGCCCCGTCTTCAATCACATACTCAAATACATGGATTCGACTCCCCGTGCTCCCTCCATCGATCACGATTCGATATCGGTTTTGTGTGGAGTGTCGTAAGTTAAGATACACATAACATGACAATACACAAACTAGGATTAAGAACCCGATGGCAAGGATTTTCGATTTCGAATGGTGATTTTGTTTGTGGTTTCTGGAAAAGAGATTTGTGGGTCGAAGGAACTGACTGGAGCGAAATTTGAGCTTTATCGAGTTATCCATCTTATTATGGTCTGTATTGAGATCAGAATGATTGACTGCTGCTACTGCCACACGAGCATTCGGCCTTCGCATTCACAAACAATTTATGAACCATATGGACATTGTTTGGAAATTAAACACTCGAGGTTTATGGTCCCAGTGTGTTTCTTGATTGAATTGGAGACGAGAGAGGGCTAATCGGCGACGGAATTTTGCCCTCTCTCTAGATCTTCTGGCTTGATTGGGGAAATGATGACGTCGATGATGATTCGACCTTATTTTGGTTTCAGTATTAGACCGGGTCTGAATTTCGATTTTGACATCGACCGGCTCTAGACCGGATTAGTTCATTTTTATAGCTTCCTGTTTTTAAACTATCAAAGTTTGCCAAAACCCCTAAAACCCTATTTGGTTGTGTGGTTGGAAGGAATAAAACCCTTAGAATCCTATTTGGTTGTGTGGTTGGAAGGAATCCAATGAAATTCTAAGGAAAATAATTCAAATTCCTTTGAATTTTTATATTTGGTTCAACTTCAAAGAGGAAATCCTAAATAAAATAAACATTTCTTCATAAGAGGGAAAGTACTTTCAAGTTGCAACATGTTGGAAGAAAACATTGGTGTGCCGGGTTGGTATGAACATTCAAATGCTGCAAGGATTGGAATTCAATGGTTTATTTGTATTAAATCGAAGACAATTACTTCATAATATTTTGATAGAGATTAGATATGATTAGGGATGCGTATCGGAACCAGGTACTTGTTTTTGGAACTCGAACCGCCTCGGAATTGCTGGTTTTGAAACTGGAATTGTTGGTTTTGGAACTCGAATCAGTTCCGGTTCCGGTTCCTAAAGTTATGGAACCGCCTTAAGCGGTTTCGGTTCTGATTCTAATTTTTTCGGAACCGTTACCTGCTGAGTACCCATTGAAACCAGTTATATATATATATATATATATATATATATATATATATATATATATATATATATATATATATATATATATATATATATATATATATATATATATATATATAGGAAGTGATTCAAATGAGAACCAAAAAAGGTTAAGACTGTAAGAACCTCTAACCTTAGATGTTTATAAAGGGTTTAGGGTAACTCTAAACCCTAAACCCTTTATAAACACCCTAAACCTTAAACCCCAAACCCTTTATAAACATCTAAAATTTAAGGTTCTTACGGTTCTTAATTTTTTTTTGTTCTTATTTGAACCTTTATATATATATATATATATATATATATATATATATATATATATATATATATATATATATATATATATATATATATATGCGAAGGGAATGAAGGGGCTATCGGATGCCTAGCCCCCTCCAATATAAATATTTGTTTGATATATATACTCAAAGCACAGTAGACCACCGTCTAATTTATAAATCCATATAATAATATAAACTCTCTAAATTGAAAACCCCCTTTACGATTTGTTAATCTAATAAATAATAACTACAAAATCCTATGTAATATCTTATTTTAATTTAATTGGCATAAGTGCATTGTGGGGTTTAAAATTAAACCTAGCCACAAAGATACATATGCCATATCTCCATTTAATCAAACTAAGTTTGAAGACTGGTCTCTTTCTTTTTCTACCGCTATAGTAATTAATCAAGGTAACATTTAATTTTTATTACTTTGGTTTTTTTTGGTAATTTGTAATTGATAATAATTTCAATTAGTAAGTAGCCCTTTGTTTATAAATAATATTTTTAATCAATTATTCATCAAGAGTTCAAGACAATTAGTAGTTATTTTAATTTATTGAGGAGATTAATTTCCAATTAATTAATTATTTCCAGCTATACTTTTGAAGATTAGGTTAATAGAGACAAATTTTTAATTATTTGCGATTTTTTCTTTTAAAATTGTGAACCTATTACTTTATTTGTATATAACATTATGTTTTAATATATTATTATGATATAATGTTGCATTCATAGTTACTTTTATTTGTTAAGGAGGTTAATTTTCAATTAACGAATTGTTTCCAGCTATATTTTTTAAGATTTAGGTTAACGGAGAAAAAAATTTAATTTTTTGTGATTTTTTCTTTTAAAATTATAGATCTATTATTTTATTCGTATATAACATTGTGTTTTAATATATTATTGTGATGCAAGGCTTTAGCCCCTTTTTTTTTTCTAAATCCTAGCTCTGCTCCTATATATATATATATATATATATATATATATATATATATATATATATATATGTGTGTGTGTGTGTTACTTAGACCAGTGTATAATATATTCATCTTATTCTCTCTCTCTCTCTCTCTCTCTATATATATATATATATATATATATATATATATATATGTGTGTGTGTGTGTGTGTGTTACTTAGACCAGTGTATAATATATTCGTCTGATTCTGTCTCTCTTTGGTCCGAATTGATTCGATTTAGATTGAATTAAGTTGTGGTTTTATCGACAAAAGTTAACAAAATTAATGTAACCGTGCTCCCCAAACTGGAACCGGAACCGGAACCGTCGGTTCCAGGACTAATTCCAAAAATTGAGGAACCGCTTAGAGCGGTTCCGATTCCGGTTCTAACTTTCTAGGAACCGCTGGTTCCGATTTTGGTTCTGGTTCTCGCCAAATGAGGTGGGTAACTACCTATGCTCATCCCTACATATAATGATAATAAGATAAATGTTAAAATGGCAAATTGTATTATTTTAATGTTATTGGAGACATAATACTTATGATGGTTTGTTAAATGCTATTTGGTTACAATTTATAGGATTAATTAGTTGAAGATGCTCGATTGTTTTATGCTATTGAGAATAAAAGTTGTGAAGTCTCAAAACCAGACTTATTAAGACATTATTATTAAAAACATTTGAAAAGCATAAACACTTTTAAAAATTTACTTCTATTTTATGTTTAGTATAATCAAACAAGAGAATTAATTTTTAAAAACATTTTAATGGTGAATTCCTTGTTGTACCAAACAGTGTAATGAAAAAAGAAAATTTTGTCATTTTAACTGAATTTCAATTTCATTTTTTGCGTACCAAACAAAATATGAAATTAATTTCAACTCCATTTTCTTCCAACCAAACAACATATGGAATTGGATTCAAATTCCTGATAGATTCATTTTATAACATCTCAAAAATCACAACAAATTTGAATTTTTCAAAAACAACCCATTTACTTAAAAAGTGTTTACATAACCATTGTTTCCAAAACATTATTAAAAATCAGAGTCTCCCATGTCCATCAACATAAAACCAAGGATGTGTATGGTCACACATTCGCCTTGCTACAGTCATTAGAAGTACCTAAAACAAAACTAAAAATTTAAATCAATGCTTAGAGAGTTCCCCCAAAGTACCACCATATAAACATAACAAACAACATCATGCATACGGAGCCTTCAACATGACTGGACCGCCTCACCGAGCCGACAACCTATCTGGACCTTCGGCCTGACTAGTCCACCTTGTAGGCCTTTTGTCTATCCGGACCACCCTATATATCTTGGCCTCCAGTTTATCCATTGGTCCACCTTAACCAGTAACCATAACATATCAATGCATAACATTATCAATAAATAACAGTAAACACAAGTAGTCCTACAGATCAACCATCCTAAATACATAACGCGTACCACATAACTCCGCATAACAACATACAACAAATCAGGATATATAATCCAATGGGCCAACCTTGGTGTCTTCGACCCATAAGTACAATTAGGAAAACTTACCTCGCAGCCTGACGAATAGCTGAACAATACATTGCTCCGAATATCGGCTCTACAAGTCACCTATTTAAACAGACAGAGACCAAGGCTTAACTATAGCTCAAGATACCCAAAATACCATTTAGTCAAACTTAGTCAACCCTATCAAAAAGTCAAAGTCAACGGTCAAGGTCCAAAATTCAATATTCCTTCCCTAGCGGAGTACACCCTATGTGTAACACTCCATTTATTAAATAAATAATTAAATAGTAGCCCTAAATGTGAAATAATTTAGCAAGGCATTGGTTTTTGGGATTCAAAACTCATCATTGAGAGTTAGGGGAGCCAAATGTTACAATTTGGATTATTCGGGGGTAAAAATGTAATTTCTGGATTAGTTTCTCAAGAATTTTGGAGGTGGAGGGTGGTTTGATAAATTATGGATTTAAATTAAAATTAAATCTTGAAGAGAAGGGCTGAATGGTAAATATTGGATTAAAGTTGAAAAGATTTTATGGAGGTAAGGGCTAAAGGCTAATTTTTTGGCTTAAGTTGAAAAGAATTTGATGGGAGGGACTGAAATCAGATTATGGCAAAAGATCTCATGTGATTGGGTATAAAACCCATCACCTTCTCCAAACCCTAACCCTAGGGTAGTCAGCCACTACCACCATGTGAACCCTCTTTACCCGCCGCCACCTTATCGCATGCTGCCTCGTTTGTGACTGTCACCCTTCCATCAGTTGCTTCGTTATCGAAGTGCCACCACCACACCTTGTTGTCGGCGACGTCATGCACGGACGAAAGGACCACCTTGAGCAATGCCAAGGCTGCTAGAGGCGACATCATACAGTGTTGATGGTGTTCTCGGATGTTCCTCTTTCTTCTTCTTCTTTTTCTTCAGTTTCACCGTTAGCCACATCGCCGCTATAGAGAGTTCCTTCGCCGTTGTCTTCCTCCTCTATGTTAGATGTATTTATGTGCGGTGGGTGTTCTGTCCGTGGGTGTGTGCATGTTTCAATACTTTTGGTGTGTGCTAGTTGGCCAGAAAACCCGCGGAAACCACCATGGTGGTTGCTGTCGCTAGTTTCTTTTCTGCCACCCTTAACCGCTGTGTATGGGTGGCTATGAGTGTGAAGCACTGGTTGTGTGTAACACTCGATAATTGAGGTATTAGTTTTATTTATTTATTTTATAAATTATCTTGGGCCTAATAGGATAAAAGGTTTTTGGTTTGGACCTAAGTTTATGGACCAAGAATTTGGGCAGTCCATAAGACATACGCTGAGCGTAGCCTTGGCGTATGTGGGGCGTAGAGTCGCGCATAGGATTCGGGGGGTGCGCACACATACGCGCAGCGTACCATGTTTACGCACAACGTACGTGAGCAGGAGCCAGATCCTAATTTTTAGGGTTTATGACATATAAACACCTAGGTATGTCAAAAAGTCCCGTAGGACCCCGAACCCGTGGGGCCTCGATCCCGAATGGGGAATATTTGTTTAAAAAATCGGGCGGGGGCAATGTTAACCCCCATTTTAGTTTCAGGGGCTGGGGCGGGGGTAGGTAGTCTCGTCCCGAACCCCTAATGGGGACCCCGTTAATATATTATTTATATTA